GCTAATGTTGATTGTTGTCTTAAAAAAAAAAAAAAATCTGGTCCAGACCCGAAACATCAGCTTTCCTGCTCCTCTGATGCTGCCTGGCCTGCTGTATTCATCCAGCTCTACATCTTGTTATCTCCGACTCCAGCATCGCAGTTCCTACTATGTCTGGTTCACTAAATCCTTTTCTTAGGGAAGGAAATCTGCAATCCACACCTGATCTGATCAACATGTTCCTTCGGACAGCCAGTGAAGTGGTTGATTCTTAAATGCCCTCAAAATGGCCCATCAGGCCACTTAGTTCACCAAAACAATAGCTGTTTTGTTTTGATAACTACAAATTTTGGACCATACTGATCTTTAAGATTTACGTACCACTGGTTCATTTGTCTTCCAAAATTCTACTTTTGGCAAGTGCATTCTGCTGAATTGATTTCATCCAAGTATGAAATGAGATAACAATATGAAACCTCTTTAAGCGGATACTGAAGAATCCAGCACTATAAGCAAAGAGCCCTTGCTATTCCAGGTAATCGTGATGATTTCAAAGATTAAATAATTTCATAGGGACAGGTTTAATGTCATGATGAAGCAGAGTAGTAATGCCCTCCACATTGCTTTGGACAAGTTTAAATGCTGAATCCAGGCTATATGGACAGCAAAGTTCGTGTCCAGCCTTAACGTGGAAGACAAAAAAAAATTATCTGTGCAAATCCTCAACATTAAAATGAATGTTTGATACACAGTTGTTTGGTAATGGGGCAATATGTTGCCAAGAGGTTTCTGACTAGCCTGGTATCTCTGCTTGCTTTAAATTATTGTCTCCAACTAGGAGAAAGTCCTGATCCTTAATGTACTTACAAAATTCTTCTGACTGTATGGGATTGCGTGGACTATACAACACACAAACTAAACCACAGACTAGCCGGTTTATCTACAAGAGTCTTCTCCCATTTCATCTGTCTCATTTTAATGAATCTTGTTGCCTTTTCCTCGTGCTTAACTAATTCCTTGTGCAAGCATCCAAACCCTTTGTTTTGACCACTTCTGTGGTAGCAAATTCCATTTTTTAAACTACTCGAGTAGAAGAAATCCTCCTTATTTCCATATTGGATTTTTAAAAATATCTACCTTGTTTTTGTGTTCCTACGAGTGGGAATAATTTCTCCATATCTACCTTGCGTAACACAGTCACCTTTTGAGTCTTTTTCACAAAGCTCCAGACTGTTTAATCTTTCTTAACTTATCATAGTCTCTCTTTTGGTACCATTCTTGCCTGTCTTTATTGCATTTCACTATTGTTTCTCTGAATTTTTTTTCATTCAGAGATCAGAAATTTACACAGTACACGAGTATGGACTAACCAGGATCCGTGCTATTTTAACACAACTTCACACTTTTTTTAATTCTGTACCCTGTACAATATATCCTGTTGGTGTTTTGCTAATAATTTTCATTGTTTTGCAGGCTTGCAATGTTGCCTTGACTGATTTGTTCACTTGTGTCCCAGTTCCCTTTACTCTTATGTCATTAGTTTGTTATTTTCTACGGCACAAATAACCTTTCTAAGTCTACTACCACAGTGCATCACCTCATTTATTTAACTTTCATTTGCCACTTTGTCTACTCAAGTTTTTTAACTTGTCTTCAATTCTGCTTCTTTCTCCTTTGTTAGCTACATACACTTGAGTTTGCTAAAATGAAGGAAATTTCAAACTATATCTCACAACTCTTAACTGTTCAATCATTAATGGGTGGGTAATTATGCAGGGTGTTGTACTCAACCACTGATCCAGTCTGGGTCCTATGGACAAGTTGTGCATGCCTCAATCTTCGAAGGGAATAGATCCTGCTCTAAACCTGGTTTTGAGAAGTTGTTTCAGGTTTTCTACTTGTGTTTTTTTTTCCTTTGCATTAAGTTTAAGTGAGACAATAAATTCATTAAACAAAAACAGAAATTGGTGTAGAAACTCAGCGGGTGTGGGAGAAAAGGAGTTAACGTTTTGAGTCTAATCACTGGACTCAGTGTTAACTGTTTTCTCCCCATAGATGCTGCCAAGAGTTTCACCAGCAATTTCTGTTTTTGTTCCATATCTCCAGCATCTGCAGTTCTTTGTTTTTTTTTCCACCAGGAAGTTCATCAGTCCTTTTCAGAAAGACCCCATTCTTCTGCCTGCCGTTTTCCAAGGTCAGTTGAATATGGGTACTTAACTGTGTAGAATAAAAGTGTTTTCTCATTAATCAAAAAAAACTAAAGAATTGTAGATGCTGGGAATCAGAAACAAAAACCGAAATTGCCATAAAGACTCGGCAGGTCTGGCAGCATCAGTGTAGAGAAAGCAGAGTTATGTTACAAGTCCAGTGACTCCCATCCCTTTGTTTTCTCATTGCTCTATTTATTTCCCCTGAAAAGGGTCCAAATATTTGAAATAGGGAGGAAGGAAATAATATTCCCAAAACAACCATTGACTGAAATATTAGTTTTCACTGAGATAATTTGGTTGGACCTTTGCAAGAAAAGACCCAAACTGGCATCTTTCTGAATAACCCCAATGATGCAGATTTATAGCAAGAATACATGCATAATGATTACAAAGTCCCTTTTTCAAATTTAAGTATGTAGACACTTTTGGCTACGAAGTTCAAATACACAAAGCTTTTTAAAATTTCTTTTAACAAAAAGCTGCTTTTTGACTTGCTATTAAAGAATATTTTTAGATCAGCAGCAGATATTCATAGCCTGACACTCCTCAAGGAGCCATCAAAAGTTCTTTAAATATATCAGAATGAAAATATAATCTTGGCAAGTCACTGGTGAAATGTTTTGCTGTGTTGCCAAAGAAAGCTAAGATTCTGGTTCAGTTATTTTGCAGTCTAAAGGAATGAAGGTTTTAAGCTACTTTCAGAACTGAATAACTTCCAGATTAAATGTTCAAATTAGTAAAATTGCATAATTTAGGTGTTCCGTTAATGCAATTGGTTAGCCACCAAAAAATTAAATGCTTTGGGGAAGGCACCAGAATGAACTGAGACTCACTTTTGTATATACTTAACTATTAGTAGTTTAACAATCATGTTTGTGATACATCTGTTGTTGTGATACATCCAGTCAAATTCCTGAAATTGCTTATAATTATCAAATCTCGAGTAGAATTAAAATTTGGAGGTTTACAGGTATGGCCTTTCCTATATCAAGTAAATAAGTTCCTTTTTGTTAACCCAAATCTAACTGTCAACAATAAAACATAGCAGAAAGAAAAATATTTAATTTTTGTCAGTGTCTTCCTTTTGCACACCTTCCTGTTTGGACATTGTGTAAAATCTTATCGTTTGCTCTGTGGGCATTTAGCAAGCAGTACAGACATGACTTTTTCGCAGCTGTTTTTGACAAAAATAATGTCCTCTTTCTAAAATTCACAAGTGATTGTAAATGCTGAAAAGTTATAAACACTGCCAAAAAAAATGATCAACATGGCAACAAAAAAATGACTTTGTCCCCAGTGTATCTGCCCCACAAATTCCTTCTCAAAATGAGTTTATAAAGAAAGATGCATAATATTAAAACAAACACATTTTAAAAAGTGCTGATCTTAATATGCACTAAACGTTAACATCTTCTGCCAAGAAGTTTAAGTGATCTCCAAATGTTGCTGTTGATGACTACTTGCTATCTCCAAATATTGCTGTTTTGGGCTGCATTATGGATAAGCGTATTTGGCGCAGGAAATTTTATAGGCTGCAAACGGCCTACTGCTCCTACACCTTATGCTCTTAATAGACAATCTTGAGTGTTTAGAAACTTTTTTTTTCCCAAGTGTCTTTTTGAAAGCTGTTGGTGCCGGATTTATCCACTCCTCCCAACTCCCCCAATTGTCCAATATCAGACAGCGTATGGAAGCTTTGTGTTTGAAGAATATTTTGGTTGACTCTTTTTGGTATTAAGCAAGACTTAGCCTGTTAAAAAGTCTGTCTAATATGTGCACGTTTTTGTTTCTTCAGCTGCGAAATGTCGTCTAGTGAAGCTAGTTGTCAACTTTCTTTTCTACTTTAGAATTGATGAAGAAGAGGTAAGAGTGCCTCAGAATTTATTTGGTATGCAAATCACAATCCATTCATCAATTACTATATGACAACAAAAATAATATCAAAACCAACCAACATGCTTTGCTCTAACATTCTTATTGCAATGCACTAATGTCTTTGCTAGAAATCTGGTCAATATAGGCAGAGTAATAGTGGATTATACGTTGTGGCTTGTAGTCTAAATGCCTGACTATATTTCAGTAAAATATTAGTAATAACAAATTGCACAGCTTAGGAAAGCTGACAGAATTAGCAGGGGAGATTTACCAGAATGGTAGTATGAATGAAGGAATGTGAGAGGGAGACTAGAGAAGGTTGCATTGTTCTGATTGATTTGGAAATAAGTTTGGAGAGATGTAAGATCCAAAATTATGGAGAGCTTTTTCATAAAGTGGACAGGCAGAAACGCTCTCCAGTGGCAGGAGCGTCTGTAACTAGAGGATGCAGATTGAGGTAATTGGCAAAAATAACCAGGAGGAAATGGGAATGTATTTATTTCACTTCAATATGGAATGTTATTATCCATTTAATTTTCAAGTTGAGGCCATACAGTCGAAGAAAAAATTGCTGACTGTGAGGAAAGAATTAGAATGTTGGGCTAACTAGTAACTTGTGGACTGAATGGCCTTCTGTACAGTTGTACTCTATAATTTGTTGCAATTTGAATTTCTTACTGTTACATATATTGCTAGATATGGCTTCATAGCATCTAGAAATTGCAGATCTCCATACCTATGCCCATAGCATCATTAATGCAGACTGAGGAAAGTTTACTTTGCCCTGACTTAACATGGAAAACTGGCTGCAAAAATATATACTAAAAATCTTTCTTTCTTCCAGCTTGCATAAACTGCAAAATGTTGTACATTACACTTATGGTTTTGCAATCATGAGTGTTGATGATTAGGAATGAGTTATGTGTAATGTTCTAATTTAAGTAGTTACTATATGTTAACCACGTCTGTCTACACACATAATTTTGTCACTTGGCAGTCTGCTATTGATAATGGAAGTTGGTGCTACTGAAGGAAGGGAAAGGTAGAAATTGTGCTACATCAGAATGAAAACCTAGTTAGACCACATCTGGAATTCTGTTTGACTCCAGTCATCACACTGTAGGAAGGATAGATTCGTCTTGTAGGCAGTGCAGCCTAGACTTCCTAAAACAACATATGAAATCTGAGGGCTAAATTTGATTTTAAAAAAAATGATAAATACTGAAAACACTGTGGTTCAGCAGCTCTGTGAAGAGAGAAAGTGTTAATATTTTAGATCAAAGATCTTTCTTAAAGACTTGCATGCCAAACCAGCTGAATATTTCTCACAGTTTGTTTTCATTGCAGATTTCCAACCTCTCTAGTATTTTCTTTTCTGATGTACAACTATGGTTCATTTTCTTGGAATTTAAAAGGGTAAGGGATGATTTTGATTGAAGTTTCCAAGAAATTAAAAGGGTTGGAGGAAAGCTATTGCTGTTGGTGAGACTAGGACTAATTAGTCTGGTCCTTTCAAAAGTAAAGTAGGGAAACCCTTGTACACGTAAAGGGCAATGGCACTTTGGAATTCTTTTCCACAAATTGTAGTTAGGTTAGCTGAATTGTTAATTTTAAATCAACTTAGTAAATTTTTTTCTTATCAAATGATGTTGAGGGAGAAGGGCAAAGGCAGGTTTGTGTGTTGGGTGACAGACCGAGTTGAATCTTCAGTTGAATGGTGGAATGAAATCGAGTGGATTACTGTAGTTCCTGTGCTCATTGGAGATGCCATTCTTTGCAACAGTGACCTAAGACTGAGCTGCTCATATTGATGGTATTTGTCAAAAGGCAGAAGGCAACTTTCTTTCATCCAGTGTGGCTCCTCTGGAGGCTGATCACAGATTTTGCTGTCACTAAATTCATCAACGCAGTATGTTGCTGCTGCTCCTACCTGATCCTGATCTCTATTAACCTCTTCAGGACACGCCTGAAGATGTGGCTGACCAACTGTAACTCCAAAGATTATGCGCGTTTCCAATTTCTGCCCTCTCCTCCAATCTGTCCTATTCCAACAGTACTAGTCCCTCCTGAATATGTCATATCTCCATAACTGCCCTTGCTTCTTCGCTAGACACCAAAGTCAACACATACTTTTTCACTGCCTTCACCATAGCACATTAAGGAAAACATCTAATCCGCTTGAAATTTTGAATGTCTTAGTACTTGCATTTTAGTACGTAGATCATGAAGATCAGGGTATCTTTAGAATGAAAATGCAATGACAAAAAAAAGGATGATGCTGCCTTGTTAAAGTAACACTAGTTTCTAGCACATAATTAATTTCAGGAGTTTAGATACCAATACTGATCACCTGTGGCAATGTTTTCATTGTGAGGCCTGTTCTCTGGCTGACAGCATGCGGGAAAGAATATCTATTGTGACCGTTTTGACCTATGTTTCAATGAAGGCCATTGCTGTTCAGCATCATGAAATAGCATATAACTTGTTTATCAGCAGACCTGCTGAATGGAAATGAATTCAGTTTCTTGGCAAAGTGGTATCAAAGATATAATTTTGGGAAACAATTTGAGAAATGTTTATCGGTGATGTACATGATATTTGCATTTCTTCGCTTTTTTTTCTTCTTTTAAAATAGCCTGTTGGTGCCTTATTGCTTGAGCAGTGTAGAATCCAAAAGGAGGAAGACACTGGCTTCTCACTAGGTAATTTTCACTGTTACTTGTGTTCCATTTATTGGTCAGAAATGAGCACCCAGCCTAATTTGAATATTATTTGAAGTTCTAGTTTTGAAATGTTTTTGCTTGCATGAACTTGTTGATAATTTAAAATGTGGTGGCATCAATAGAGATTGAAACATATTTCCATGGGAGCAACCTGAACTTGACAGAATGGGTTAAAAAGGTAGTTCAGAAGGCATACAAGATACATGCTTTTATCAGTCATGGCATAGCTTATAAGAGCAGGGAGGTTATGATGGACCTGTACAGGAAACTGGTTAGGCCATAGTTGGAATATTGTGTGCAGTTCTGATCACCATGCTAGGGAAGATGTGATGCATGGTAGTGTGTGCAGAGGAGATTCAAGATGTTGCCTGGGATGGAGCAGTTTCTATATGAAGAAAGGTTGGATAAGCTTGGGTGATTTACTTTTGGGTGCAGAAGGCTGAGAGGAGACCTGAATGAGGTGGATAAGATAGAAAAGCGTGGAGAGGAAGCAGTTGTTCCTCTTTTTACTGAAGGGTCAGTACCAAGGGGACATAATTTTAAGGTGACTAACAGGAGGTTTTGAGGGAAACTTTTTTTTAAAACCCATTCTGTGGTGGGAATCTGGAATGCACTGCCTGGGAGGAGAGTTAAAGCAGGGAACGTCAAACTTTTTAAAAAGTACTTGGATGAGTATTTGAACTGCTATAACATTGAAAGCTATGGGTCAAGTGCTGGTGATTGAGACAAATGTAGATTTAGAGTAAGGTTCTTGAGTAGATTTGTTACCCAGTAATGGTAATGAAATGTCTTGTGAACTAACGAACCAGCTCAGCGAGGGAGCCAATTATAGATTTGGAGTAGTTGGTGCAGACTCGATGGGCCAAAGGTCCTCCTCTTGATCTATGACAAATCCCATCAGGCCAGGTAGCTATCTACTTGAGAAATCACCCAACATCAATAGAACATCCTTTTATTTATTTTCTAAATGTTTCTACTTCCCATTCCAGTCAGCTTTTTGTGTCCTTTCGCCAGGATTGTCACTCTTTGGGGCTAAATGGTTGGAAATGGATTAAAATAATTCAAGCTAATTTCACATAGAACTCCTGAAATAGCAATTAAATGAGACTTTCATCTATCAGGCTGGGCTGAGTTTGCAATCATTTGCCAACACTGTACAACAGTCCTAATAATATTCCTACTTAAAATGAAAATGCTGTCTTTTTTTTTAAAATAAAGCTTCTGCCTTTTGAGGGTGATGGGGTGATAAGGTGTCCAATACTCCTTTCAATTTTAAAAATGTGTTCTTTTTCCTCCTTGTCCTTGTATTGATAACTTATCAGTTCAGCTGCCATCTGTTTTGAAGAAATCTGTGTGGAAAAAGAACGTGCAGAACCTCTGTGATGTTAAGGTTCAAGGCTACATCTTTGTTTATTTGGATTATATCTGTCCTGCAGCACTATGCATTAGCACAGTTTCTTATGGTTTTGTGTAACTATTGATGTTCTTCATTTCTTTGATATCATCTTCAATTAAGACCAGCTCATGATGAGCAGTAAGGAATGAAATTTCCTAAATGAATTCACAAGGTTCTAGCTTATTTTTTAATTGAATTAGGAAAGGAAGTTGAAATAGAAATTAATTTGTGCACTTGCATTTAAACCTCTGTCAAAAACAAGTCAATGTTTCGTTTAGTTGAAATATATTTTTGAGTCAGCATTTCAACCTATTTTTATTACATTTTAATACGTTGTCACCTTTTCCTCCAGACTTTTTGCAGCTTCATTCTATGAAATTAACACAATTGCTCCCGTAATTTAATATTTAAATGTCAAATAAGGTAATATTCTTTGACAGTATTTTCAGTGCACCGTTTTTGCGCTAGTTAATCCCTTGTCCTTGAAGAAAAGGATGACAAGTACATGAAGTCCAGAATATCTATTTTTTAATTTATAGAATGCCTATTTATTAAATGTAAAGCATTCATAATACTAATACTATTGCCATCATCAGGATGGTACAGGGCTTTTAATGTTTCTTCCAATTTTCTTTAATCTCTCAGCAATTTGTATTCTCATTCCTGTGTCCTGCGCTGTTCTGTCTCCCAGTTCAAATTGACACATTTTTACTCTCTGCTCCCGTTTCATGTTCGCATTGTCTTCCCCAAGTCCTAAGTTATTTCTAGATTGTTCATTTTCTTTCAGCCACGCTGGGTTGCAACGTTCAGTGTCTTTCTACTGTCTGAGACCCCAATTTCTACCACCAAGGTAGATGACTCTTTGTTGTTTTAAATCCCCAAAATCCCTTTGAGCAGGAAAATGGATTACTAACAACATCCCACATCTGCACAGCAGTCTGTCTTGTCTCTCTGCCTGCATCCCACCAAAGCAGCTACCCTTTACTGTGTCAAGTTGTAAAAACTGCCATGTGATTTTTGATAGGTTTTTGTTTGGGTTTCTTTCCCTTGACAACTGGATCGCAGGTCTGTTTCCAAGCAGAAGCTTTGTATAATCACTCCAGTTTTGAGCATTCTGTTTACCTTTAAAGGAGATATTTAAAATAAACTGTATAGAAAAATTGTGTATTCTGTATTCGTAACAAGTCCTACTTTCTCCCATTTGATACTGGCTTCTTCTGTATTTTGCTCCCTTTCCATTTCAAAAGCTGTGAAGAAACCTTCTGGATCTTTGTTCCTTTGATTTAAGAAATGGTAGGGGGGCATTTAATAAATATTCCTTTTTTTTTTAGCTAAAATGGATATAATTGGAGAGGGAAACCCTGATATCATAGGTTTATCATTAAAAGTAAGATGAGTGATATGATTGACTATAAAGAAAATAATATGGAAGACAGGTTAGAAGAAGATAAAGAAAAATCATTTCCTGATGGGTTACATCCAGGGATCTTGAGGGAGAGATTGAAGGCCGAGAAATTGTATTCAAGTCTCTATTCAGAGTGGATTGATGGAGGAGAATTGGAGATCAGTGATCCACTTTTCACATAAAGGAACAGGTCCATCTTGGGAAGGCAAATGAAGTATTCTTACTGTCATGCTAATATAATTGTGATTAGATGTGATCCAGTCGTGCCTGTTGTACCTGGTGCAGAGGAATCTAGTTAAAGCAGGATGATTGGAGGAAAATACAATGTTTAAGCGAATGCTAGAAATGCCCCATACAGCAGGAGAACTGGTTTTAGTCTATGCTATTAACTATAACTATAACTATAACTATATATTTCCATCTAGCAGCTGAACTAAAGGAAAAAAAAACTGAAATAAGCAGCTTTTAAAGTTACTTTATGAATAATCCTGCTGTCCCATAATGTTTGAAGTGTAGTGACTATATCCAAGTTGATTTTGAAATTTGGTTGCAGTATTTGTGGATGAACCAGAAAGAAAATACTCATTTGTGTGTGACAATAAAGATGAATGTGAGGAGTGGATTGAAGCTTTGACAAAAGCCAGGTATGTTGACGTAGTTATTTTGTTTGCCATAACATTATGTACATACCAGGTGATGTCATTATAATTCTGGGCATTGATCTATTTTTATAACAACCTCAGTAAAATAACCTTCTGATTCAGTTTCACAAAAGAAGCTCCACACAATCCAAGTGCTCTACTTCAGTGGAGACTGACTAATTATAAGGTTTATTTGGAATAAAGGTTTTGTGCAGCTCTCCACTACCTATTGTGGAACTGAACCACCGGGAAGGTACTCAGTTTGACCTCAACAGGGGTTACTGTGGGATCTCTGAACAAGAAAAAAAGTCAGTCATTTTGAATATTGTTGATTCAGGGAGAGATTAAGAAAGCTTGAGTCGATAAAAGATTATTTTAAAAATTCACGTCTTATATATTTCACTAGCAAAAGTAGTCATGCATAACATTTTCTTAAAGAATTATGGTTTTCGTAACTGCGATCTGATAAATAATCAATTCCATGTTTTGACAGTGAAAATAACAGCTTGGGAATAAAATACAGAAAATACCTGTCTCCCTCTTGCTTCTTATATTTTAATTGTTTTGTTTTATCTTGCAGCTATGAGTACATGCGGAACAGTTTAATTTTTTACAGACATGAAATTGAAAAAATAACTGGAAAAGTAAGTAGATGTTCTTCAGCTTTCAAAATATGATTCATTATCAAAACCTAATGAACTCTCAGCACTGAAAACGAGAAATAAGATCTCTAAAGAGGAGAGATTTTTTAAAATTCTGTCTCCTCTGGTCCCTTCTACCTTTATCAGATGCTCATTTTACACAAGGTAATGTGCCATATAAAAGGCTAATAAACCAGTTGTATTAGCGTGGATAGAGGATTAAGTAATGGAGGAAGTATTTTCAAGTTAACAAGCCAACTATGGGAGTGCCATAAGAAAGATTACCGGAGCTTTATCTTATTACAATCTATATGAATGATTTAGATGAAAAGACAGGAATGTATATTAATTTCCTGGTGATACAAAGTTAACTCTGAATGTAAGCTCTGAGGAGGACTCCATTAAACAAATAGGCAAGTGTAGATGGAGTGTAACGTGAAGTTATTCAGTATGGGATGGAACAGAAAAGCAGAATGTTTTTAAGGCCCATTGATGCTCAGGGAAACTTGGGTATACTTGCACAAGAACAGAAATATTGGCTTACAGAGGAAGATGAATAACATGTTGGCCTTTCTAGCAAGGGAATTGTATTACAAGGTTGCAGAAACCTTGTACACTTCTATAGGGCTTTAATGCAACCACACCAGGATGAACTGTGCAGTGTTGCTCTCAGTATTTAAGGAAGGTCATGCTTACTTTGCAGTTGGCATAATGAACTCTGATTTCTTATGCTCTTCATGCTTGTATGCAAGAATTAAATATCAGCTAGTGCACTGATTTTTTTTTTTCATAGGCCTCACATAATCTTTTGAATTATACTTACACTAGCAACTTGTTCCAAAATTCCTAGGTAACAATTCTGTTCACCCTTTGGATTTCTTGCTGACTTGGCCTGTGTGAATTCCAACAAATCTGGAAGGTTGGAAAGAATTGTCCATGGCAATATTGTCTTAAATGAATTAAATCCAAATGAGAATAGAAACACTTTGACATTTGCAGCCCAGAAGGAAGCAAAAAAAAACTCCATTCATCTGTCTAAGTTGATGCTCTCTCATTTTTGAAGCTTGTTGAAACTTCCTTTTGCTAAGGGGAGGGCAGTCACCATGCTTCAATCCTTAGTTTTGTTTCCTCCATACTTGATTTATTGAACATGCTTATTCCCCCATTCAGTGTATTATGGCCACACAACCACTCTTCTAGCCTCTTCTTTGTACCTGATGGATCTGTAACTTCATCCTAACATCTAGTTTTGTCAAAGGCCTGAATGGTGTGCACAGTGTGTGCACTGTGGCTTAGCTACTTTGTTGACAGATTTGTCAGCATTTGAGAAAAATGTAGAATTATAAAATGTTACACACTGCTTTATAGTCTTTCTCTTAACTTTGCAATTTTTTTCTCAAAGTAACATGCTTCTTGCTTCAAAAAAACCCCTAAAGCAATATACTTTTTCCATGCTTTCTTTATGTCCTTATATCCTATGCATCATTTAAGAAAAAAAGTAAATGTTTGGTAACATTGTGGATGTGTTGTCTCATCCTTTTAAAAAAGGAAATATCATAATTATTTCTGGATAATGAGCTCTTCCAAATAAATGAGTATGATGTGAACAAGATCCAAGTTTGAATCCATAATTATTGATTTAACAAAGCTCAAGCTGATTAGGACAGGGATAACATTGTGGATCTTGATGCTTCTGGGTTAGAGACTAAAAATCAGTCTGCTTCCCTAATCTCGGTTGCAGTCCAGTCATCCCCTTGAACAAGATCAGCATGTCTAGACTTAATATGAGAACTAATTCCGATTTTGGTTTTGATATTTCCCTTTGCTACAACCTTCTGATGGGTAAATGAGAAACAGGCATTAAAACAAGCAATGGGAGCTGCTAGAGTCTGTGGAAGGAGATTTTACATTAACGTCTGTTCTTTTAATTCATTATGCTTATTTGCACAATTAACCAAAGCTGCCCGCAGTAAAGTTTGAGGAAAAAATGGAATATCCTGCAATTACATATTTCTATTTCCTACCCCTTGAGTATTCCCTGCAAGTATTTGATGAAAGTTAAAATACTGTAGTATAACTTCTCAGTTGTGACTTCATTTAAATAATGCTTGTTACTGTACTGTTTGCAGGATCCACTGGAGCAGTATGGAATTTCGGAAGAAGCTAGATTTCAAACCAGATCCCAGAGGCTGTAGGTAAATGGTGTACGAAATCTTGATTGTTAACTACAACTGTTTTTATCTGCTTCCCTGGACATTTTACTAGACTTGCATGAAAGCAGCATACAAAAAAAAACAAGGCAAGGAGAAAAGTGGCATGCATACCTCTGAAGTATTAAGATGAAAACACGTTGTCAGGGACCTCTTGTAGAGAATGTGGAACCAGAATTGTAGAGATGTATTTTATTGCAATGGCTTTGGATAAGTGAAAATGACAATTAGTGATTGAGGCTGAAGCTACCACTAATGTAACCTACTAGGTTCTTGAAACTTGACCTTTTTTTTTCTTTAGTTAAATTTTTGTGGAATGGGTCCATTTGTGGAACTTTAATCTCTGGCTAATGTAGACTAGCTACCCCTTAGCCAGTAGCTGTACACCTAATGATGTTTGAACACACAATTTTTTCTGTCGTGTGCAGGCAGCAAAACTTTCTGGAAGTGATTCTGTGGATTTTTTTTTTTGCATTTGTATAATTCAGTGGGCAAGATAAATTCTTGTTCAATAATACAGAAATTGGAGTGTCAGTGTCCCAGGAATGAAGTCTGGGACTCCTAATCTATTTAAACAATCCGGATTCAGAAATGCAAAATAATTCAGTCAAGTTTACCAATACTAAACTTGAAGTTGCTGTTGACACTGATGCAGACAAGGAGCTAGAACATGACCTAGTCTCAATTTTCAACAGGCAAACTATAGCAAATGAAATTCAATGCAGACAGCTATTGTACCCGAGAAGAAAGAAATTGGACATGTTTATGCAGTAATTGGCCAAATTATCTAGGCCTTGAAGGTAAATGTGTTGGGAGTAATAGCAGACTTGATATTTTGACAGCTGGTGAGACTTGCTGAGCTATATTAACACAGCAACAATCATTAGAGTAGATCTGCATTTTAGTCTGTTAGATTTGCTACTTGAAGAACAGTGTCTGAAGCAAGAGCACTAAGGATTGTTTGTAATTAAACTTTGAATCTCTCTGTCTCTGCCCAAAAACAGCACATTGCTGGGGTCTCTTGCACGTGCATAGGAAGCTCATGGGTAAAGTCAGTTTTGGGCTTCCCAAGCGTGTAGGGAGAGGAGTGATATTGGTGAGAGTGCAATGTAATGGAGTATTTCAGTGTTAAAGTTGGGGAGAGCTTTTAAATTTGGTGTGTGTGGGGAGGAGGAGGATTTTGGGGCAGGCCAACATCCTTTTTGTACACAAACACACCAGATACTTTCTCTACGCTTTGTAAACTAATTTCAGAAAATTTCTTTGGATATATAGGCCCCTTCTGTGTGGAATAAAATGCCCAGCACTCTTTAGATGGGTGGTTGAGATGCCTTATAAAGAACTGTTTTTTTTTAGCCGTAGGCTAGTTGTGTCCCTGTACATCCAGAGAAGCTCCACATTACTCGTGCAAAAGTTATGAGCTGCAACTTCTAGCTGTGAGCCCTGATGTGATATTTTCACCATGTTCTGAAAAGTGAGTGCCCATTCCAACTCTGCTCCTATCTTAACAGCTAATGGAATAAAACCCTAATCACTGATAAGGCAGTTGTAATACAAAAGTCATTTGAACATCTCCTTAAGCTTCTCAACACCTCCATTTTACAGCACATGGTAGGATGTTGGAACAATTTTGTCAAAATTCTGTACAGACTGCATGATGGCAGGGCATATTTGTGCTTATGGCTAGATTTCTGTTGCCTTTTTTAGTAATTTATCATGATGTTTTAATCGATGTTTTAATCTCTTTGGCTTCCTTAAGCATTGCAGCAAAGTTAATACCTCCAGGTCTCACTGCTTTGAGTTCATTAAGGAAAATGCTTCAATTTCTCTAGAATGCAAACATCATGTAGTCAGTACAAATCATTCAAGAATACCTTTTAATAAAAAGCCTTGCAAATTTCTACATTGCTGATCACTTGTCTTGGGGGAAACGTTGCAGTGCATGGAGGCAAGTATTTAAATTTGGTTCATCCTGGTTCGAGATTAATTTATTCCACAACATCCATTGCTGATGAGATGATGGAAATTGAGAGTTCCAAACATCAACAACATAAGCTGCCAGTTGTGTGTGCATCCACATCAGTCTCCTTGGGCATGAGAATCTGGAAATGATGAACACACTTCCAACTTGGAAGTCTACCCGTATCTGTGAAGACTGAGTGGTAGTATGCAATGTCCTGTTCTACACACGGTGGTTGGCAGAAAACATTGCAATTTCTACCAATCTAAAACTGCCATGGTGGAATCAGCTAAGAATTTAAGTAGGAAACATTCAGGACCTGGAAGTTGTTGTATTTTCAGAAGACTGAATCATGAAGCTAGTACTGAAATAGGGAGCACCTGGTAGTTAAGGCTATTAAATATGACTATGAAACAAAGATTAATTCAGAGGTGTTCCAAGTTGAACCATGAATACTAATTACTTTATGCAGCAAATCAGACATCTAAAATACCTTTCTTGGTAAGACAGCAGCTGCAAAATCTTTGAACTAATTGCACAAGCAATTCCTTATTTAAGTAGGCTAATGTGGGCTTGCATCGAAAGGTGACCAAGACGTATAGAATGCCTTTGCCATCTTCTTTGTATCAGTGACTCAGTTTACAGAGTTACATTCTAAAAGCACAAGAGTTCAGATGGAGAAGACAAACACTAATCTGTTCTTTATTTCCTCTTTTACAGGTTCTAATCGACCTTGAGTGCTCCTCCAGTATTTTCTAGATGTATCTTTAATTTCAAGCATTTGTAGTTGATTTTTTTTTTTAGTATGCATGGATTGTGGTGTTCTTATGGGATCTGAATGAATGTGTTTTTTATAGCTTTTAAAATTAATGGTTTGAATGTTATTTATGATTTTTGTATCTTGAGGCTTTGTGGGTAATTGATATTTAAATAGTACAGAACTTGAGTATTGCTGATGAAAAGACATCTCTTCAAAGCTTTTGATCTTGCGCTCATCAGGACTATTCACAAGAATACTTTTTCAAGGGGAAAACCAACATTTATACTACATGAGGAGAGCATTAATGGACATCCTTTGTTTAAATTTAAATAGGCAGCTTGACTGATTCACCTGGGCATCGCACAAAAAATGAACTAGCAATGGCAGTCATTTATTGAGTTTAAACAGGTGCAGTATGCTCTGTCTGCAAAGAGCTCTGTAGAAATGTGAGGGACTCATGCATGTACTGGAAGCTACATGTTATTACACAGCAGCCCAGTTCTTTGCAGCCAAAGAACATGTACATGAGCTCAACCTATTTGAACACAATAAAAGTTTATTATTCATTTGTGTACAATGCCCTGATGAATTGGAATCAACCTACCTGGTTTAAAACTTAATGTGGCTGTTAATTGTCAGTCAGCAATTTTTTTTTAAAGTAAATGTTCCTAAGATTTAAATTGACCTCTACAGTGAACTATCCAGAATTTGTTAAGAATGAAACCTTTATCTAAAAACTTCACTTTGAAGTGATGGCCTAGTCAAGAGAGAATTACAGATTGACAACTCTTCATTGTAGCATTTATGTACATACTTAAGTAATTGGGCCAGGACAGTGGGACTTCACTTTAGCTAAGTGACCATAACTGTGAATACTTTAAATTTGCATGTATATTCATGTTGACTTTCAAACTTTGCTTCTGTTAATGCTGTGTACTGCCATAAATGTAGATGCTTTGGTGAAATGAAAGTCCAGTAACACAGAATTCCAACACTGTAAAATAAAACAAAGCTTTCATTTTTATTCATGAATGTTGCATTTTTTCCAGAAATACAATACTGAAAACTGGGCAATACCCATAGATTCAAACACCTATTGCTAAAATCAATTTTGGTATAAAAAATTTAATATTTAGTTTAATATTTTTTAGAATGGGCTGAACTTTTTGACAATGTCAGACACTCACCTCTTGAAGACACTTTTTTTCAAGCAGCTTTAGATTCAACTAACGTTATTCTTAATGTCTTTTGCTAGCTGTGATTGAGCCACTTTTCTGTATTTTAGGTCAAAGGAATGTATAAACAACTGTTGCAATGCATACATGTATTCCTTTTAATATTAGCCATTGTGCCTCATAAGAAATTTGTCATCCCTCCCCCTTTGTAATTTAATTTTGGAGCCCTAATTTTAAATTTGAACTACATCACTTTCCATCCCAAGGAAGAATTCAATCATGTTTTGGTCACTCTTCACTAGAAGACCCTACACAAGATGGTCAATAATTAATCCTTAGCCTGAATTCCTGGAGCGTATATGAGGAAGCAACCAGGAAATGTGCCAAGTGTCTATCTAAATCTAGCAAAGGCAAACTATATTAGCCATTTCCTACTTAATACCATCCCCTAATTTCCCACTGCTAGTTAGAGGCCTACAGCCAACTCTCACTACTGCACTGATTTCATCCTTTAGTTACTCCCTTTCCTTTTCACCTATCCTTAAGAATTGAATGCTCTTCAATGTTCAGTTCTTTTCAAATATGCTGTCACTGGGCTATTCATATTTCTCACTTGCTGAATATTCTACAGTAGTATCCTTGACCTTGACACCAGGGATGCACTGTACCTTCCTGATGTCACGTCAGTGGATGCAGAAGTCTGTTCCCCTGTCACTTACTCTTTTCCTACCCCACCCCAATGCAGTAGAGTTACTGGAGGTACCATGGATTTGGTTTTTGTTGCATTTCCCCCCCAGTAAACCACCCACTGTAGGAATATCCAAACTTGAAAATCTATACTACATTCCAGCACTTAGTGTGATTGGTTCTTTATACCTGTGCACACTACATCATATACCGCCACTATATCTGCCATCCAAGATGTCAGCTTTTGTAGTGCAGTGGTAGTATCATTTCTAATTGGCTGACTCAGAGGCAAAGGTCTCCCTAACTTCCCATATCTCAAGAGGAACGTTATAGGAGAAATATTAAGCTGGAGAGGGTTCAGAAGAGATTTACCAGGAGGATGTTGCCAGGAATGGAAGGTTAGAGTTTGAGTTATACAGAAAGGCTGGATAGGTTGGGACTTTCTCCACTGGTACATAGGAGGTTGACAGGTGACCTTTTATAGAAGTTTATAAAATCATGAGGTATATACATAGGGTTAATGGTAGGGGGTGCATTTTTAAGGTGACAGGAGAGATTTTAAAAACACGGGTCAAATTCTTTTGCACAGGGTGGTTCATATGTGCAATAAATTGATAGTGGTGGATGTGGATAGATATGAATAGGAAAGGTTTAGAGGGATGAGCCAGAAGCAGGCAGGCAGGACTAGTTTAGTTTGGGACTATATTCAGATTGGGCTCAAGTGTCTGTTTCTGTGCTGTATGACTGTAGTTAATGCTTATCTTTAGTTCATGTATTTTAAGCATGAAAGCCTATGCAACAGCAGTTGCTCAACAATCAACTCTCAGCCTATGGTGTTACTCTTCAAAGAACAATCTGGCTGTGGAATAGGTTCCAATGTTATTCAGCTATTCCTGTGCCCAGCTACACTATGCAAGGGTACCAAGCCTCAGTGTAGACTTACAGCCCTTCTCACGGCAGACTACAATACAACATTATTCAGCTACTCCTCTCCCCAGCTGCAAGCATATCTGGTACTTCAATACAATGTAAAGCAGATGAGTCTCAATCTAATGTGTGGTCTGGTTATAGGGAAAGATTATCAAGCTATGTGAAGAGCGTTCATTTACAAAGTACTTTTCATAATCTCTCATCAATCCAGCTTTTCCACAACCAGTGTTAGTCTGATTAGTACTGGAAATCTATCCTGCTTACCAATGCAGTTATTTTTGTTGATTGAAAACATCTGTTTGGAGAGGTTATGATACACACCTCTGGGGGCAGGTGGGAATTTGAAGCTGGACTTTGAATCAGAGGTAGGGACTTGACCTCTGCATCACAACAGCCCATTTTAATTTTTGAATGCAACTTGGACCTTATTGCTATCAATTACATGATAAACTATATTTAAGACAAGAACCTCTTCTCAATAAAACTGATTAGGGGATTTGTTCCATCATTTAACTAGGTAGGCCCTTTTTCAGAGACCAGGTCAGAGATACCAGTATGCTACTCCAACCAAAAGCTGGTAATGGCTAGCAGTGCAGCACGTACAACAGGCTTGACAATAGTGGACATCATTGCATAATAGCACAAGATCATAATTCTCACAGGTATAGTAGCAGTATAGGAGATTCTCAGCTTTGAGGACTATGCTTTTGAGAACTATTTTTCTACACTAACATGGAAGTGTGTAGAGGTAGGCTTGCCAGTTCAAGAGCTGTTTCAACTATGCATCTCTTTACTGCATGTATAACTTCTCCATGTAGAAATATAATATTGCGATATTATGCACACATACCAAATATTTGGCCCTGCAGTTTCATAAGCAGGCTGCAAAGCAGTAAAGTTCCCTTCTGTGCATGCACAGTAACAAATGTCAGCAGATACAACAAGAGAAGCTACCAAGGCTCTGAAGATTTGAAGCATTGACTCTCCCTTGGTGCTCAGGTAAAGAAGCTATGCTGCTTCCTGAAAATGTGGCAGCATACTTCACCCCTTTTGTGGCATGAGTGGAAAATCACTGCATTATTACAATCAATTAAGCCTACAATAGCTAACTTCATATATCATGAAAACATAAAAAGATGGCACAGATCCTGTTGAAGAAGTCCTACAAGTTTTTACCAACTACCTTAAATCAGAGAACAAATAAGAGCAAGATTTAACACAATAGTTCAGCAACCAAGGAATCCGTACAGGACTTCAATAATCATGACTGATCAGTGGAAAAATGTTACTCTGAAGCTTTGAAATCAGAATTTATACATGAACGGAATTATCAGTGTGAGATTGGTGTTACTGGTATCAGGTAAATAGTTCAGAAATAGTTAATGTTGGCATGCATTAAGTTTGACCTAACCTGATTAAGGGATAGGAACATGGATGATGAAAGGCAGAACATACTGGCCATTGAACAATATCTTAATAAAAATGTTTAACCTATAATTAGTACTCAATTGCTATCAGGTAATAAAAAGATAGGAGACTCTTAGCAGGCCTCACTAGCAGTTTGTTTTTAACCAGAGTCTAAGGGCCTACTTAGTTTACAATCATGGAAAGAAGATTATGGCAACTATCCCATATAATAGCACGACAGCACATACAGCAATTCTAGGCATTTTGCCTTAACCATGGTTTGGACATACAGAAAGCATATCAAAAAAAAAAATTACTTTCGTTATTGCAAATTATTCAATGCCGCTAGCACAGCTGCCTCACACACCAGGAACTCCGGTTCGATTCCAGCCTTGGACAACCGTTGGGAGTTTGCACATTGTGCCCATGTCTGTGTAGGTTTCCACCAGGTACTCCGGCTTCCTCCCACAGTCCAAAGGTGTGCAGGTTAGGTGGATTACCATGCTATATTATCATGTTCAGAGATGTGCAGGCTGGTGGATTAGCTGTGGGAAATGCAGGAAAAGGGTAGGGGGTTGGATCTGGATGGGATGTTCTTCAGGGAGTTAGTGTGGACTCGGGGGGAAGAATGGCCTGCTTCACCACTGTAGGAATTCCACAATTCAAGATCCAAGCAAGGCCAGGAAATAAATAAATCAATCAATTAATATATTTTGAGCAAGACAGTAGACTACCAGAAACCATTGCCTGCAGCAACAAGTCATATTATCCAGTTCATTTGCAATTTATAGAGACTTAGTAAAAACTAAATCTCAGCATGGTGTCTTTAACATACATACATACGAGGGATCAGACAGGATCTCATTTTACAACTCATTCTAGACGCAGTACATTTGATCACTGCACTGGAATGTCAATCTAAATTGTGTTAAAGTCTCAAGGGAGCCTCAAATCACAATGTGAGACAAAGGAAGCCACAGCAAAAACTGCAGGGGGACCATGCAGTAAGAACCTGCCGTTATAAAGCATATTTTCTATTGCTAAACATGCCAAAGCACTGCATAGCCAATGAATCACTTTTGAAGTGCAATCATTTACACAGTCTGCTAACTAGAGGATACAAATAGTGTAACTGATGTCCTAAGATGTGGAAATCGGTCTGGATGCAGAATGTGTTTACTTCTGAATTATATTATGGGATCCTTGACATCCAACTGGATAGAAGACTGAGAAATAGAATGCTGGTGTCAGACACTCCGAATTCTTCAATGGAATTCAAATCCATGATATTCCTGCTCAATGCAGGCACTGGTATTGAAGTATATATGGGTTATACAAGAAGTCCAGTGATAAAACTTGACACACACAACACATCTAGTGAATCTAGAGCTGTGACTAACAATACAAAGACAAAGCTAAACTGTATTAGTAAATTAGGCCAAATAATTCAGACTACATTAAAACTAGATGTGGAGTAGTGTGACCAGTTTTGTCAATGTATCACAAGGACATACAAACCTGAAGTAGTGCAGAGAAAAGTTACAGTGTTAATCCTCTGTGGTACAAGACTGATGAGTTACAAGATGTGACTGTACATTCTTAGGAAGTGACAAGAATAGGCCTCGGATACAATTAATAAAGGGATTATCTAATGTTGGAACACAACAAATTTAAACTTCAAGATGAAACCATATGTTCAAACTAGTGAAAGACAGGTTTTGCACTAATGCCAAGAAGATTAGTGAACATAATTATCAAATTCAATTATAGAGATCCAGGTAAGATGGTGAAGGCAGGAGCCTGATATCATCATGCCAGGGTTTGG